CTCACCCTTTACCAAGGCAACAACCTGGCTTTGTTTTTCACCACGAACACTGTTCCTCTTTGCCCAAACAACACTATCATTGTTGAGCAATAGATAATCAGGATCCAAATAAGTTGGATACTTAAACACTATGACCTTGGTGTTATCATACCTTCTTCCGGAGTAACCATCACAATATTCTCAAACCCATCCTTCGTTAGGTGTTCCACAGCCTTTTCTGTCCCAACTGTTATGTAGGCCCGATGAAGACCCTCCTTGAATAGTGGTTCATATTCAGAAAACTCCTTATCCAAACGAACCGTCCACTCCAGCTTTTGATGAAAATTCAGTTGACACGCTGTAGGGAACAGCAGCCTCTTCCTTCCATTAGTCTGCATCTCCCACGTCCTGCTGAGCATGGCTTCATTTTTTGGTCTCTTTGTTATTTCTTCCTCACTGTCTTTGAATATTTCTCCGTTTATATCTGTTCACTACTGCTTGATTCGGCTTAGTATCATCCTGCCTGCCATCCCCACTGTCACACTCTCCAGGCCCAGTGCAGGATCTTCCATCACCTAGGCAGATCGCCTCAGCCATTTCCTCGATACACAAAGGCACTGTATCACTGCAATAGTCGAGAACAAATTCACAACATCTAGCTGCAGCAGCCACGTACAAACACGCTGATGCGGAGCAACACGTCCTCCTCGCATCATGCAGCAGACCGCGCTTGCCTCTGTTAAAGACGTTTAGCCTCCAAGAAAGATATTAACACAATCCAAATATATATATATATATATTGGTTGATTACGTGTTATTACCATTTAGTTAGTTTTTTTTTGTTATTGGGTTTATCGGGGACAGGAAGCCTGTGTATATACATATGTATTTTAGGCCTATATCGAGGTCCACCCTATCTTGAGGTTATCTTGAGATGATTTCGGGGCTTTTAGTGTCCCCGCGGCCCGGTCCTCGACCAGGCCTCCACCCCCAGGAAGCAGCCTGTGACAGCTGACTAACACCCAGGTACCTATTTTACTGCTAGGTAACAGGGGCATCAGGGTGAAAGAACTCTGCCCATTGTTTCTCGCCGGCGCCTGGGATCGAACCCAGGACCACAGGATCACAAGCCCAGTGTGCTGTCCGATCGGCCGACCTAAGTCGAACTACTGACTCTTCCCAGGATGCAACCCCACAACAGTTGCCTAACTCCCGGGTACCTATTTACTGCTAGGTAAACAGAGGCATTAGGTGAAAAATAAACGTGCCCAACCATTTCTGTCCCGCCCGGGATCTCAGATTATGAGTCGAGAACGAAGCCTGCTGTACGATCCCTTTCCAAATATGAGGAAACTGTGTGAAACCAACTGTACTTATTATTGTTATTGTTATAATTATTTGTGGAAACATATGTCATGTTTCCACAAATAATTATAACAATAACAATAATAATGATAATTTATTTATATGATATACAATGGATCAGATGCCATAGAGGCGATGACATAATTGGTACGTGTTTGTGCATTTTTAAAACTACTATTCGGCCATAACTTAAAATGTGAATTGATTTTAATTTTTAATTTGTGTGCGGTAATTCCTAATATATTGACATTATAACACATTAGCTTGTACCTACTAGTTGAGTTATAATGTACTTGTAAATAGCCAGCCGGTGAATATATATAAAATGCTATAGCACAAAACTACATATGAGTTAGGCTTACCCTAATTCCGTTGCGTTAACTCTCAAGTTGTTGTGTCCAGTCTTGGTTGCTCTTATTGCAATCTCTTCGTGGCGAGGGTGTTTGTCTTTGTTATCTCTCCATAGCAAGTGAAGTTATCAAACGCGTTACCAAACTTATGCATGGCTCTATTGATCACATCATTCAATTACACTAACATCCTGCAATAATAACATACCAAATCATTTGCAATAATATATACAGTTTATGCTCTTTCTATTCCTTATAATAATAGGCAAATTGCATAATCAATTAATGTCAAATCAAGCAAAAAAATAAGAAAATATATTACACTAACCCACGTTTATGGGCGTCACAGCAGACTGATGGAGATCAGTCAATTGAAGATCAAATCATAAATCAGTCAAATGAGAGTGCAATGGATAAAACAATTACAATGACTAAGTACAACACTTTTGTTCCGAGTAGCTGAATCTAACACAACGACAACCTAGGTACAACAGATACGATATATCTTACTGCAGCAAGGTCACTTGATTTGCGAGTTCTCCGTACTAAGCTCATTCTTCTTTAAGTCATTTTTTTTAAATAATTCCATGACTCGTTCTTGCAAGATCTAAAAATCTTTGAAATAAATAATACTGCGTTTAATTTTTCAGTGCAGTACTACCACAAAAAACTTACTGACCAGCCAGTAAGTAAACTTTAGTCTACACTTCTCTCTCAACCAAATTAAGAGAAAAACTAAATACTACCTAATAAAATCCATGTGATCCACCTTACTCCTCTAAATGTCAACCCATGTCTTGCTGTTTTCAAACAGTGTTTGTTGAGCAACTTGTATAACTGCTGTTTTCCGCCATGTATGTTTCTTTCCCCCTCCTTTTTTTCAACTCAATGTATGCTTTGATCTCAATTAGAATTAAGTTCTATTCGAAGTGTTTTTCCCACACCTTGCCCGAAACGCTGTGCGTAATAATGGCTTTAGGCATTGTATTACTAGCTCTATCTATAAATCCAACATTATGTTTGTTAACTCACCTTGTATGTATGTACTTTACCTGAATAAACATTTGATTTAATTTGATTTGATTTAATTGCAATATTGTCCAGAACTAAATTAAACTCTCAGTGTATATACACCGAGACTTGTGAACACTTCTCGGTGTACGTATCCCTGCTGTATCTCTGTAACATTTATACTCATTTCAAGATTTTAGGTTTCATGAGAACTGTATGTTTGTTTATGGTTTTCAGTTTAGCGCATTTATTATGCACCCCATACCCATCGTATGGGCGGTAGTGGAAAGTGTTACAGAGACATAATGGGCTCAGAGACTGAACCCCACAATTAATTTAGCTAAGCAAGTTACAATCTTGATGAGCTAGTTACAAAATTCAATGCACATCGTTACATCAACAATGGGCTCGAGACCGACCACAAGTACAGTTTCTAATTTAAGCAACTGACATATGTGGAGATTGATTGATTGATGAAGATTAAGCCACCCAAAAGGTGCCATGGGGGGCATGAATAGCCCGTAAGTGGTGGCCCTTTGGAGCCATTACCAGTATCATTATCTGATACTGGAGATCTGTGGAGGTGCGACTGCACCCTACGGAGAGGTCGTGACCTCTGATATATGTGGAGAGCTAGTGTCACAATTTATATGTTTAGTCTGCACACCGCCCCCCCCGTCCAGTGGGCAGCGGTGGATAGGCTACACTCAACTACTATCTACAGTTAGCAAACTGGGGATATTTGACTAAGATTTCTGGTAGCAGATCATTCTGAATAAAATATTTACACATCTCTGGAACATTTGTTATAGAATTGTCTCTGAATTCACGTATCTTTTCGCACTTTAAAGGCAGATTCTTTGGCTAACTCATCAGCTCTATCATACATTCGGAGGCCAACATAAAATGGACTCTGTTACCATAATTACTAATTCTCTTGTATGTGTGTCTAGCTTCAGACACGAGCATGTTATTTATTTATTTATTTATTTATTTATTTATTTATTTATTTATTTATTTATTTATTTATTTATTTATTTATTTATTTATTTATTTATATACATGAAGTTATATTGGGTTTATGAGAGTACATAGCATGATGTGTTTACATTCTTGTAAACTTGTTATAGTTATGTCTTAAAGAGTTGAGAGCAATTAAGGATGATAAAAAGTCACTTACAACTAATGTATCAAGTTTGGAGACTTGTACATATTTCAGTGCAAGAAGCAAGGCAAATAGTACGGTCTGAAGGGTAGAGGCCCAGTTGTTTATACGGACTCCCAACTCAAAATATAAGCCATCTCCCATTGTCAGGACAACTGCAGTTCCAGCTGCACCCGTAGGGTGTTGTTAGAAATGTAATTTCCTTGACATTTTGAGGCTTTTTTATTTAATTATTTATATATACAAGAGTTTTTACATTCTTGTACAGCCACTAGCACGCACAGCAAGTCCTTAATCCTATGTTCCCCGGAATACGACCCCGCTAAATCGTTTAACAACCAGGTACCCTTTTTACGTTGGGTTAAACAGAGGCTACAGTTAAGGATTTGCCCCCAATAAATCCTCACCGGATACGAACCCAGGACAAAGCGCTCGCAGAAAGCCAGGCTAGCGTCCTACCACTGTGCCACGGAGGACTGGTTTCTTTATTTTGCTTTGTATCTTTTGCAGCTTTTATTGAATAGCTTGTGTCTTTGTTGTCTGTATAAGGGGTCATTACAAATAAATCAATATTTAGACATACTGGGTTTTCAATAATTAGAAAGCATATATGTCTTAAGTTCTATATTTATAAATGAGAAAAAATTAACTAAATTAACATTTATTTCTCTATCCTTAGATTGTTATATAGAGGTGAACTATTATGTAAAAGTAGTTATTTGTAGTGACAATTTGTTTGTAATACACGTTTATGTATGACTACGAATAGAATTTATGCTAACATAGGTAATTATTCTGGGAATGAATACGTGATAAGTTCTGTACGTTATCAAAACATCCGTTGCTTTAGATTTTTTAAATTAACAGTTTCAAACTAAAAATGTTTAGATAAAGTCAGTTTTCTTGTGATAGAAAATGTAGTATCAAAATATAGTCTAGTAAGTTCTCGTGTGAAATTTCAAATTTCCCGCTGTTACCGCGGAGGGGAGAGATACGACAGGGATTCCTTAAATCTTCTAAAATGAAATAATGCATGTGCATTTGTCTTAGAAAATAAGTAAGAGCCCACTGCTGTCAGACGGTACTTATGGCATGTGTTTTAATGGCTGAACATTTTTATAAGATTGACGTTAGGACTAATATGAGAAGGGAGATAAAAATGTCGTCACTGGAACACAACTGAGCCAGGACTGGCCTCGTAGTGGCCGCGTTACCTTCATATATTTCACTAAAATGGCTGCAGGATTACCTCGGAGAATAATTAAGGTACGGTAGAGTAGGGTATTTCGCCGCTGGGCAGCCACGAGGCGAGGCTGTAGGCTGGTGGTGGTGTAATAGAGGTGGTAATTGTGTTTAAAATACCGGATATACTGGTGGCGGCCAACCTGCTGAGTGTCTGGATTCCTTTTTCCACGATGGTGTCGTACATGTGTGAGGTGCTCCTGGCCTGTGGGGGCTGGTGGTGGGCAGCTCTGGGGGCGCTGGAGATGGGATGGGCCAGGGTAGGGCCATGTGGGTGTGGCTGTAGGCCTGGGGGTGACCCTGTGGGGGTGACGCATGCTGTATGGGGTGACACAGCCCACCCGGCCTGTTATGTCACCCCATCTCTGGTGACGAGAGTACTGTGTCACCTCTGAGGTCTGTGTGTCTGTCATGCCTGAGTGTTGCTTGTATTACCCCCTAAGTCTGTCGGTTGTCCTAGAGTATCGCGTTTACCTGAATTTGTCCCGAGGGCCACTAACACTAGTGACCTCGATGAGGACAGGAAAAGCCTGTTTGCGAATCGCTACAAAAATGTCTTGATTGTCCGTGTTGGTAGTACAGTATTCCGAACCCGACGGCAGGAACTGCTGCTCTCGCTACTGGCTTGATGTTGTACTCTATGCTAGTGTGGGTATCTGACTTATATTCTCTCCACGTACATGGTGCAATAACTGATAGGTCAGTAGTGTAGTGGTGGTGTCAGTAGTGATGAGCTTTATGTATTATGTCAGTATAGGTGACTATTGAGGTAGACGTATGACATGGCATTTTTCTACTATTCTACGCACCAAACAAACATCTTCGTTATATTTTTGTTCATGTGCTGTAATATGGTATGGGCTGTGGATGGCAGATTTGTCACCTTCGTTTTCATCTTTCTCGACAGCAATATTTTTTATATCTTTAAGTATCGCTGGTAGATGAAGCATTCACTTCTAGGATTATTCCCTCCTTAGCTGTACTGTCAACCATCTTGTACTGTGTAGTGTTGATTACATGTACAGGCTGATGGTGTATTGTCACTTGAATGGTTGCTTATAAAGCAGCTTCTCTTACACTAACTTGCTGATGCCTTTTCAGTTATTCAAAATAACCCATAAAATTATGAAGGTTTTAAAATACAATTTTTTTCCTTTGAGGCTAGACTGTAATTGGTTGATATAACCTCAGTGATAATCTTGGGGACAAATGTTTCATGCACCTAATTTAAGCTTTTTGTCTTGTCTGAAATACTATACATCTTGGTGGCTTGGTGAGCATTTACTGTTTACACAACAATTTTTTTTTATAAAACCTATTGTATTTGTATATAAATAATCTTGTCCTTATTGAGACCATGATAAAAATGGTAACCCTCTGGTAAATTCAAGGAGGTAAATGTAAATAATTATAAAAAAATGTTAGCCACCCATGTTTTGCCTAATGTAATCAAACTTAACCTTTATAAGTAGGGTCCCTTAACAACGAAAAAAAAAAATTGTGTTGTGAATGGTAGCTCACTAGTTAGCTCCAAGGATTTCCAAGGTTTCGATTGCTTGTTTGGCCTGTTTGGTAGGAGACAGTTCTTAAGGGGGCCCAAGTTGAGAGGGATAGGGCTGGCCTATCCCTGGCTTTGTCAGAAAGTATCGTGCGAATGGATGGCTGCCTTAATCCACCTACAAATCTGGCACTTTTGCTTAAACTTGTGGCCACCTGTTAATGGAAGAGAAATTCCTGGAGTGATACCTATAGTCTTTCCTGTGAGTATATGATACTTGCTTATGGAATATCCAGCACTGGAGAGAGAGTGCAGAGTTGATATTTCCACAGTTCACAGAGGATTTCATAGCCTTCAACTCATGTTAGGTATCCATACTGAATTTCCATGTAGCAGTATTTTTGGCTTTGTTAGGGGATTCATGCCTCCTGTATCTCTGACACTAGGTTACCTTGAGGTGTTTTCAGAGCTTAGCGTTCCCACAGCCCGGTCATCAACCAGGCCTCCTCGTTGCTGGACTGGTCAACCAGGCTGTTTGACGCGGCTGCTCGCAGCCTGACACATGAATCACAGCCTGGTTGTTCTGGTATCCTTTGGAGGTGCTTATTGAGTTCTCTCTTGAACATTGTGAGGGATCGGCCAGTTATGCCCCTTGTGTAGTGGAAGTGTGTTGAACAGTCTCGGGCCTCTGATGTTGATACAATTCTCTGTGTATTTATTGCACCTCTGCTCTTCAATGGGGGTATTCTGCACATCCTGCCATGCCTTCTGGTTTCATGTGTTATTTCTGTGTGTAGGTTTGGGAGCAGCCTCTCTATTTTCCACGTGTAAATTATTTTGTATATCTCCCGCCTGGGCTTAAGAGAATACAGATTTAAGCTCTTTAGTCGGTCCCAATAGTTTAGATGTTTTACCGAGTGGATTCTAGCAGTAAAGAATCTCTGCACGTTCTCTAGGTCAGCAATTTCTCCAGCTTTGAAAGAGGCTGTCATTGTGCAGCAGTATTCCACTCTAGAGAGCACTAGCGAGATCCCAGTTTTCAATATCTTATGCTTGCTAAATGTTGACTTGATGTAATGTTTATTCAGCCCCAATGGCCTCACCATTATGGGGGCAGTGGCCTTAATACACTTACCACATTCCACTCCCTGTCTTAAATCACTTTTAAACATAGATTTGGTCTTTTTGTCATGCTCGACTGTATTTGCTAGCAGGCCTTTTTTTTTTTTTAGCTCGAACAGTATGCAAAGAAATATTGAATAACCTGCTCTGGTTAATATCTGCTCTGAATAATATCTGCTCTGTTTGGTAGGACTGCATTAGCCACAGCAGGTCAAATTTAACTAACTTTGTATAAATTCAATCAACTTAATGGAACATTTTATTCAGTTTAAGCATTCAGAAATTTATAAAATTTTAAGGTTACTAACATTTACTAAGAGAGGAAAAAGAATATTAATGTTTAAAATGTAAGGTCACATTATTAACGAGCCTGAGTTGACCTGCTTTCTTTATACTAGTACTGTATGTGTGAAGCTCTAGAAACATTTTTTACAAGAATACACAAATTTTCTGATAACAAATCTTTCTGAATGTGAGGTTTCTCATATACTGTATTGTACTTCTGGATCTTTGAGGTTGCACTCGATAGCAAGCATGGACTTGATCTATAAAATATGGCTGCAATCTAGTCTGTTTATGCAATGCCTAATGAAATATTAATCAAATTATGTAAGTACAGTAACCAGATTTATAACACCTCATTGGTCGATTGTATTATATATGCCAGCTAATAAACATTGGGGTTAAGTTGCCCATCTCCAGACAATTGCTGGGGCTTGGACATCGGCACAAAAAACTTGTAGCACCTACATAAGCACATACAACGAAACCACAAAATGCCAAGGACTCGTCTAATGTATTCCAAAAAGGTATTGAAACATGAATGGTAATCTAATATAACCCTGTTAGCAGAAATATTATAACATTAATTTTTCCATGATTTGGTAATTGGTTCTTTTGAAAATAGTTTTTTCAAATTTAACCTCTGTGATGTGCCGTGTTTATTGCGACATTTCCCCGTGCGCTGAAAATCAAGTGTTTGCAAAATTTGTTTGAGCTTTATAAAATGATAAATTCCCTTCCCTGAGCACGTACATGTTAAAAAAAAACTGCACTTACTTTGGCTGTGGGGACGTGGAGAAGGGGGCGTGTGACGTCATCATTGGCTGTGCACCCATGCGTGAACCTCCCAGAGGCGGTTGAGTGGGCCATTCAAGCACCACAAGTTGACACATATATTTTCATTTATTTGTTCTATGTATTTCCAATGCGTTTTTTTTTATCGTATACTGTATGATGCATATTTGTGTCCTTTACTAGATGTGTACATTAGAACGTTCATAATGTTTCATGGAACTGTGATATATGTCAGTAATGTGTCCACAATAAATGTTTGTCACAATATTACTTGTTCAAAATTCACTAAAATAACATGTTCAGTTTCACACACTATTTACACAGTAACACACTGTATTACACACTCAGTACTTCAGAAGTGAGTGATAATCAATGAAGCAGTCCATGATACACATCGCTCACGATGCACCAGGTACCAACGGATTTTCACTTCCTGCTTCTTCGTTCTGTGTGCTCGCAAATAACGCACTCACGCACACCCTTGGCTTTAGTACAGTACCTGTAGGTGGTATTAAGCCAAGCTTGTGAAGTGTAAGGTAATCTTGAAAAGATCGCTATGTAAGCTATTCTGGAAGAGATTCAGCTATTCTTGAAAAGGTCTATGGAAAACGCCACCATGGAAGCCGCTAACACTGTTCATCTATGCTACTTGTATCAGATGCATCGTCACTGAACCCAGAAAACGATTTGTCTATGTATCATCTATATAAATTGGAGATAACACGAGTGAGCATAGCAGGTGCTCGGATACAACTGGATACGCTCGCTGTATCGTCGTCATCGGTGCTGTATCACTTGCATTCGACCCCTTGTGTTACGTCCTTATTGTGCCTAGTTTCATCAATATCTTGACCTCTTATGTTCGTCAAACAATAAGGTTTGAATTTCACTGATGGAGAGCGATCTTTCAACACCGCGTCCGACGGGATTGGGAGCCAGAAGCGCATGCTCCACCCTTGGCTGCTCATTCAGAACAGATCCTGCCAGCAGCCCTAGGGAAATTGGGATTTTTTTCAAGATGGCTGCCTCTCACTGGGGGTCCCAGGAGTCCATTTCGTACCCAACCTATCGCGCTCGCATTTCGAATGGGTGTACAAAAAGTGTTTTCTCGGTTTGTGCAGTAATGGGCAAAGGAGATTTCTTGGTTGGCGCAGCACAGTGATTAAGGGGGTTATATTTGTTTCATTTGTTCATGTTTTCTGGTGAATGTGCAGTCCTTAAACTTTCATATGATAAAGGTAGGCACCTTGAAAGATGTATTATGGGTAATAAATACTGCCTGGATATTGGTACTGAAATTGGCCCCATTTCCAATCTCTGGACACTAAAATCAAGTACTCTTCAGTATCTCCAAATTACTTGAAAATGTTGCTCGCATACACACACCAAACACACCATGTTCTCTTGCATATTGATATGCAAGAGAACATGGTGTGAACATGGTCTTTAATGGTCATTGGTTTCCAGAAGTGAATTGCTGAACATGTTGCCAGATTATACAAATAATAAAGTGGTACTAATGCTGTGTATTTACTAATAACCACTATTACACTGTAACCAGTGTAGTAGTGGTTTTGTTCTGAATTTCATGAAACACCCAATTTTAACAATTTAATACCTGGTTAATTGGTGTTTTTTCAGGAAACTCAACGGCTGATGGCCGAACCTGTTCCAGGAATCTCAGCAGTTCCAGATGAAACAAATGCTCGATACTTCCATGTAGTAGTAGCAGGTATGTAATTTTAATGTATTATGCTGTCTGATGTTTGGTTATTGGAAGTTAAGATAATTTTTTTTATACAGTTTGTATAAAAAGCACTGAATTGATAAGACCTAGTTGCTGAGAACTTGCAATATTGAGCTTGACTTTATTGTTGTTTTAGGATATATATTAGTTTATTATGTCAAATACTCTGGCAACTAGTTGAGGCAATCTGTGATGGTTGATCAAGGTCAGCCCCACACAAGTTGCAAAAATAACAATTGTATCAGGGTAGCATGTAGAGAATGTTAATGTTTTAGTACACAAATATATTTAGATTTTAAATACATAACCCAACCCTCGCACGCCAAAAGAAAGAAATGTAATGAAGGAACGTCACGTTCCTTTTTCTTCATGCGTGTGTAATGGGCTATTTATTTTCAGCCACATTATTATGGCTTATTTTCTGCTTTAGATTTAATGTTGGGCTATTGTTGATCTTTAGTAGGAAAGGATATAAAGGACCATTCTCAAATCGATTGTGATGAGGAAGTAGAGACAGGCAATAAATAGGCACGAGAGAGATGAGGAGCAAAGTAAGGTGTAGTAGAGGGGCTAGAATCTACATAGTCTACACAGACGCGGTATTGTTGAATCGGCTCTAATACACAATGTACCTAACATGAACTTAGTCCTGGCTTTGTTGCTGTGGACTCTTCCCTTTCACAGTATATACTCCTTATATATATAAGGGGCCTCGTAGCCTGGTGGATAGCGCGCAGGACTCGTAATTCTGTGGCGCGGGTTCGATTCCCGCACGAGGCAGAATCAAATGGGCAAAGTTTCTTTCACCCTGAATGCCCCTGTTACCTAGCAGTAAATAGGTACCTGGGAGTTAGTCGGCTGTCACGGGCTGCTTCCTGGGGGTGGAGGCCTGGTCGAGGACCGGGCCGCGGGGACACTAAAGCCCCGAAATCAACTCAAGATAACCTCAAGATAACTCAAATGCTCTAATCTTTCTAACAAACGTGACCTTACATAAGCTTACCCTTTCCATTTATCTTTCCTTCTCTTTTCTTTCTTTCTCTTTTCTCTCTCTTTCTGTTCATTGTCTTCTACGTTCCCTCGCTTTCCTCTTCTTACTATTTTCTCCTTCTCATTCGGGGGTTATAATAGGAACTGCCTCGTATGGGCCAATTGGCCCTCTGCAGTTCCTACTTCTAGCCCCTCTACTACACCTTACTTTGCTCCTCATCTCTCTCGTGCCTATTTATTGCCTGTCTCTACTTCCTCATCACAATCGACTTGAGAATGGTCCAGGACGGACCGAAACGTCGTCGTCCCTTCACATCCTAGTGTGTGGTCTTGTCATCATACTTTAGCCACGTTATTGTGACTCATCGCCTGCATACGTCTTTCATTTTGGTATCAAATTGTTCGCAATATAAAGGCGCGTATTTTAAAACTAGTCCCATAATAATAGCAATAACTGGAATTTTAACATTTTAATTTTGTACGCTCATCACAAAATTATGTACAGTGGTACCTCGGAATACGAGCCGGATTTGCTCGGAAAATGTGCCTCGGAAGGCGAGGGTTACCTTGGAACACGAGTTTGTTGATACGCGTACAGCCCGACCTAGCGCGTGGTGGTATGGTGATCGTCGCCCCTCCGCCCCTCAGTTTACCAGTGCCTCGCGCCCAGTGACTATCCCATGTCAATTCTTCACCCGGATTTTTGGTCATTTGACAATAAAAGTTGTTATTATATATCTCACTATGTGTCCCAAGAAAGCCAGTGGTAAGGATCAAGGCAAGAAAGCCCATGTGAGGATGACAATAGAGGGGAAATGAGATCATTCGGAAGCATGAAAACGGTACATGTGTTATTGAACTTTGTAGGCAGTACAACAAAGCCACATCAACAATATGCACTATACTTAAGAAGAAAAATGACATTGAGTGCTAAAGTGGCAAAAGGCGTAAGAACAATGACGAAACGAAGACCATAAATACTTGAAGTGGAAAAGTTGTTATTAATTTGGATACATGACAAGGAGTTAAAGGGTGATAGTGTTTCGGAGGTCATCGTTTGTGAGAAAGCCAGGGTATTGCACGAAGAAAGGTCTTCGTAAAGAAAACCCCTGGAACGAGTGATGTAGATACGAAAGAGTTTAAGGCAAGCAGGGGCTGATTTGAAAATTTTTGAAAAAAGAAGTGGTATCCATAGTGTTGCGAGGCATGGGGAGGCAGCCAGCTCGGATAAACCAGCCGCTGAACGATTTATTGAAGAATTTAAAGAGTTTGCAGAGGCTGAGGGATACCTACCGCAACAAGTGTTTAATTGTGACGAAACAGGACTGTTTTGGAAAAGATTGCCTAAGAGGACATACATTACCAAGGAGGAAAAATCCTTGCCCGGACACAAGCCTATGAAAGATAGGTTTACGCTTGTGCTGTGTTCAAATGCGAGTGGCAATTTGAAAATTAAACCCTTGCTAGTGTATCATTCTGAAAATCCAAGGTTTTTTGATGTGGAAGGCTAATAAAAAGGCATGGGTGACTAGGATTATTTTTTTGGAGTGGGTGAATGAAGTGCTGTTCCCTGCCATAGAAAAATATCTGCAGGAGAAACATTTGCCACTCAAGGCCGTGCTTCTCCTCGACAATGCTCCTGCTCATCCTCCAGGATTGGAAGATGAATTGATGCACAGATACAGTAAATTTCTCACAAAGTTTCTTCCTCCTAACACCACTCCTCTAATTCAGCCTATGGACCAGAAAATCATAGTGAATTTTAACACTTTCGCGCTTTATATTAGAGATAACTCGTCACTGGTTTTTCTTACGATTCCGCATAACTGCCTACTTTTCTCGTCAATCGAAAAAATATTTTTATAAATTCTATTTTTTAACCGAAATGGATGGGGATACTTTTGTTTTGTAGAGAATTTATTTGCGAATTTTTTGGTACCAGAATGAATATTATATCACAAACTTCTATGATTAAAAAAAAAAAATACACAAAGTATGTTTGGGGGTGTGGCGAGCGTGTGGCAGTGGGTTCCCTTTAGCCGTTGATATATCCAACACGTGGGAAATATTTGTATGTGTTATGTATATGTCTGTGTAGGGAATTTTACTGCGATCACTGTCATACAAATTATAAAATGTTTCAACAAGTATAATCATGACAAACATCAAACGAACGAAAACAATGCGTTCGTTTCTGCCGCGAACGCATACTGAGCTACGTGGTTCTATATTTGGCGCTTCTCTTACACATGCTTTGTACCAATGTTATACAGTTCATCTTATAGAAAATTTTATTGCGAACACATTGGTATAAAAAAGAAATACGTACATAGAAAAGTAGGGCCAGGAAACGTATAAACTTTCCAAGCATGATTTCCCCCGTGTTTTCGCCAGTGCGCTCGCGGCTAACTACTCTCCACTTCACACACTCTTGCGGGTGGGCAATTACCTATATTAAACATTCATATGCATATGTCCGTGTAGAGAATTTTATTGCGATTCCAATGATACCAAAATTAGCGATGTAGGAGAACTGTAGGCTTCGCAACCATTAAGAAAGTGGAAACATTTTGTTGCTGTTTGGCGCTCTCGGCGAGTGATCTGCATAGTTTTTTATTTGGTGTTGATACTCCTTATGCTTGGGCGGCATTTTATAGGTATGCTCTTATAGACAATTTCATTGCGAACACGGTGATACCAAATTTAAATACGTGCGCCTTCAATTATTGTCAGGACAGTCAAAAGAGTGTACACTTTTTCGGTCTTACCGCGTAGGCGCGCGAAGTGCCGAAAGCATCTGGGGTATTGTTTTTTTTGAGCGCCGAGAGCGCGAAAGTGTTAAGAAACTGTATGAAAGGGCACTTTTCCGGAAATGTTTTGAAGTGACTGAAGCCACAAACCTCGCTCTCAAAGAGTTCTGGAAAGACCATTTTAACATTTGTAGTGCTTTAAAACTCATTGACAAAGCCTGGTAAGAAGTGACTCAAAGAACCCTGATCTCTGGCTGGAGAAAATTGTGGCATGAATGTGTGGCAGAACTAGACTTTGAGGGGTTTCAGCCTATAAATGATGCGCCTATTGTTGAGGAAATTGTTACTCTGGGCCGGCAAATGGGCTTGGAATTGGATGGTGATGATGTGGAGGAGTTGTTGGAAGAACACAACGAAGATCTGACCACCGAAGAACTCCAAGCCCTTCAAAAGAACAGCAAGACGACCCAGCTGATGATGTTTCTCCAGTGGAGGAGGATGAGGCAGTAGCGAATGTCCCTTCTGCACAAATTAATTTAAGAAGGTGTGTCAGATGTGGGAAGAGATGCAAACTTTTATTGAAAAAACTCACCCAGAGAAAGCTGTAGTAGGCTGTTGCCTTAATCTTTTCAATGACAATGTGATGCCTTACTACAGAGACAGCTTGCGAAGAAGGGAAAAACAAGCTTCCATGGACAGATTTGTTGAGAAAATCGAGCAGTGAGCCACAACCAGGACCTAGTGGTACTCGGGCAAAACGTGCCAGGGAGTGCACACCAGAAAGGTCCTCACTGCCTGATGTGATAATGGAAGGGGACTCCCCTTCCAAACAGTAACACCTCTCCTACTATATAATATATACATGGAAGATACTGGAAGGTCGGGTCCCAAATTTGTACAGTAGAATAACAACATACTGGAGCAAAAGATAAGAGAAGGAAATGCAGAATAGAACCAGTGAGTAGAAGTGCCATAGGCACAATCAGAGAACACAATCTTAACATCAGGAGTCTACGGCTGTTCAACACCCTCCCAGGAAGCATTAGAAATATTGCCGGATCGAAGGTGGAGGTATTTAAGAGACACTTGGACAGGTTCGTGACAGGATTAACCAGGCTGTAGTGGGTATGTGGGCCTTCAGGTTGCTCCAAGCAACAGTTTGTAGGATCAAGATATCACAAGTTAAGCCTGGCCTCAGGCCGAGCTCGGGGAGTAGAAAAACACCCGAAACCTTCTCCAGGAACT